TTAAGAAGGTACTTTTATTTCCTCCAGTGTACTGGATGTTTGGAGAGAATTTTGATAATGTCAAAGAGTGAAGATGTGGACTCCACAGTTCTTAACTCTTTCTGGACTGCATTTCTGGCTGTTGACTTGCAAGACGGAAGATGAAGAAAAGACCTCAGGGGCTATGAATGAAAGGAGTAGACCTTTGTCCAAGCATTCCTCTCTTCCCTGTACTTCTGAATTTCTCTGTCACTGCCAAGGGTTTTTGAGTACAAGGCTTGCCAGGCAGTTTTCTGAGGAGTGAGCATCTCTTCTCCAGTGCTGAAAAGAAGTCAATTGCTGAATGCAGAGGAGGAGGAGGGGGAGGAATGTCCTTCTCAGCCTGATTCTCCACCTTCGTTGGCCCCCCTTATCTCCAAAGAAGGATCTATAGGGAGATTGTAGGGTCACAGCTTGTTGTTCTTTCTTCACCTACCTTCCTCCTCTGACATTTAGATTATGACCCTGTCCTTTCCACTCAATTTTCTTCCTTAGTGCTCCTCTCTGTGCTTCAAATATTCCCTAAAGATGGGATGGCTGTTTACTGTTTCCATCTATCATGAAAATCCCAAGTGGCACCTACAAAAAAATTACCATCACTTCAAAAGAATCCTGAAATGGAATGAACATTAAATGTCTTATACGTGCTACAAAAATAAAACTTTTAAGATAACTTTCTTTTGTTTATCTTCTTGTGCCTGTGTGATACTGGGGGTTGAAGCCATGTCCTCACACAGCACGGTATTGCTCTGTTTCCCAAGCTAATCTTGAACAAGTGATCCTCTTGCTTAAGCCTACCACAATGCAAGGAATACAGATTGGGGTTCCTGCACCAGGCTTAAAAATCAGTTTCTCTAATAGCAGTGTTCATGAAAGAAAACCTCAAAGTCACTCACTATTCAGCCCCCACAAAAATTCTTCTTCTTTTTTTTAATTTTGGCAGAACTGGGGATTGAACTCAGGTCCTTGCGCTTGCCAGGGAAGCACTTATCCTACTGAGCCGTCTCCCCAGCCCCAAAAATTCTTGCTTTGTTAAACAAAAATTTTATGGAAATGAATTTGTAGGATAATAGCATTTCTATGGGAAGACTTTCTAACTAAATGGAAATCTTTATAATAAATCTTAAGTTTAAAATATTTATCAGATTTTCTATCATCTCAGGCAAGCTCTTTCAATTATGCTTCAGAACAGGATTTCCTTTCTCTATGCCAGACACAGAATTATGAGGATAAGGAAAGCTTCCTGACAATTTATGTGCTGTATGCTATGGCCTTTTCATAATAAAAATCAGTCTCATGTTAACTGGTGCTGACCATGTCTGCCCGAGCTCCTCTCCTCTCTTCTTCTCTCATTGCTACGCTGTCTGCACTTCTCTGTGGCACCATCCCCTCATGTGCCGAGCCCTGCCTGCTCGTCCTAGCATTACCTGTGGCCCGAGGGCTGCTGCTGGGATAGAGCATTAGTGGCCTTCTGCCAAGACCCAAGATGAGTGACGCTAGGAACATCTTCCAAGCACTTTCTGGAGATTCACATGACTCATCCTTGGCCATACCTGCGACCTCTGGGTGTTTCATCAGGAGGAGGAGAGCATATCTCAGTGTTGAACTTGTTGTCTCTGTCCCAGCCCCGAACAAGTCACTTATGGTGATAACCAAGTTCTCATAAGTAAAAGCTGTTTCAGCGTTGTTTGCCTAGGAATGATTTGGTGCAATATTGGGATAAATTACTTGCCAGCCTATTTATTCAGAATAAATCTATAATAATTGATGATGTTATAAAATTGGGCAAACAAATCCTGGATGTGCTATGATAGAAAAAAATACAGATGCCGCTTAACTGACTCAAACTTCATTTCCCACAACTCACATCTTCCTGGGCATCCATTTCTGTGTGTGAGACCCTCCCTTGCTAGATGCACCATGCAGGATACTGATACCTCAAAATGTTGTGAGCAAAAGCATGTTGATGCTTTTTTTTTTCTGTTTTCAGAGGACAAATATGAACAAGAAGATAGAATAGACATTATTTTGGGACATGCGTATTTAATCATAAAAATGCTAAACACAGTGAAGAAAAACAGAAGGCACTTGCTTCTTTAATACTGTGAGACTACACAATGACCCTTACACTGTCCATAGTGAAAATCTTTAAGCAGAGAAAAACAAGTGCACTTTTTGCTTAAGGCTTTAATAATTAGATGTTTTTCTTATTTGTAAAAAAGCACAAATTTGTCTTCATGAAAATAGGAAAAAATTTTGTATGCTAAAGGTCACAAGCTTAACACAAGGATCATTAATTCCTTAAAAAATTTGCATAAGCTCAATATTATCTACTTAATATGAATTTAAAATTTATTAGCAGCATATTAAACAATAAATTGTGGAAGGTAAAGGAAAAAGGAATGGATAAAGAAAACAAGCTGGCCTCACAAAAGAAGAGTGCAGATATGACTGAAGGTAAGTTAGTTGGTCTAAAGAACAAGAATTAATATGTTACATTTGACAAAATTCAACATTCTTTCATGATGAAGTTCTAAACCAATTTGATAAACATAAGTGCTTACTACAATAGGAGCCATATATGATAATCTCAAAACTAACATCAGTCAATGTGTACATTTACTTTTCTTCTAAGATCAGGAACTAGATGATGTCATAATAAGAAGGTAATGCAATGCAACATATTATTGTATAAAATATATTAGCTCATAAAATAAGGCTTAACAAAATTTACAAGATGGGAATCACATCACTCTCATCAATTCTACTCAAGAAAATGGAGAAAATGGTTTATTTTGTTAACTTATGAGTGAGGCATCAAGCTAGAAGATGGGCCTAAGATAGAGGTGGGTAATCATCAATATTGATAGGAATGTAGATAGACAGTGAACCAGGAACTTGGAGCACAAATGAACTTCCTCAGGCAACATGGAATGTATCCCTCTTGCTCATAAAGGAAGATGTAACTACCTTAGTGGCTGCCAAGTTCTTCAGTTCAGAGGAAATTATAATGCAAAACAATAATCAGGTTATTTTTTAGATCCCCATTTCCTGTAAATACTACATTTGAAAGAGCTGGGCTTCATACATGTTTAACTTTTTCTTTGGCTTTGTCTCTTCCAGACTTAAAAAACTATTTTGCTCACTCAAGACAAAAATGCCTCATGTTGAAGCCTTTAGAGGGCCTTTAGACAGAACCTCTGGAGAGTGTCTCTGACTGCTGATCAACAACTACAACCCCTTTCAGCCTGAAGAAGCCAGAGTGGTCATCGTCCATGGTTCCCACACAAAGGTGTGGGTTACTTCTTCAGAGGGGAAATGTTGTAGGCAGCTGAATTAGATAGAAATATTATAGGCAGTGAGACACGGCCAGGCCCTCAAGGAGACAAGATGGAAGACAAGGTAACTTTCAAACTTGGAAGAGACAGACACTCCCTATGGGCCAGACTTCAAGACAAATGAGGACATACTTCCCTAGGAATGGGAAACAGGGATTGATATTCTAAATAGGTATCAATCACCTTGGGAGAGTCCACATGAGTCCAAACTCAGCCCCCAACAGGAAGAGACCCTGTCCCATATTCATGCCTACTTGCTATGTGACTCACTTCCTCATTTGGTACTGGATTTAATCAATTTTACCTGAGCAATGGTGCTTGTAATCTCACTGGTTGACCATAGTTTTGCCCCACCTCATGCCCACCTAAGGGAGTTCCCACGTTCTCCACCACCTTAGATACTTCTCACCACATGGTTTTACTCTATAAAAGTCCCTGGAAGAGACAGCTTCCTGGGGATAATCTGCTTGGGTCCTCCTCCTATCCATCTGTTGAATAGGAGCATTATTTCCCTCAGTAAAAATATTCTGCTCATAAAAAAAAAAAGTTGAACTAGAGAGCCTCAGTTTCAATGGTTATTTTAGCTTCACAGACTGACTCACCTGTGACTGGTGGCTGCCAAACAAGTAATTCCCATGACCTGCTTACCTGCAAGTGACTCTAAATGGGGCAGTTACAT